GAGCTTTATTTGGAGTCGATTGTGTCACATATTTGAGCGTGAACTTAATTTGGATATAGTAAATGGTAAATGGACTGTACTTATAAAGCACCTTTCTAGTCTTCAGACCATTCAAAGAGTTTTTACACTGCATGTCACGTTCAGCCAGTCTTACACATTCATATACTGATGGCAGTGACTGCCATGCAAGGTGCCAAGTGGTCATTAGAAACGGAAACTAAAGGTTAAAACACACTGGCCACACCAGTACTTGGAGAGTTATAGCTCTGGAGATTGGCTCTTCAGGTGAGTTTAATTAGTAGTGTCTTATGGTAGACATTTTATATAGTATGATCAATTATAGAATGAAAAACAGTTAGCCCTCACAGTTGAAAAAGTTCACATACTAGGTTTGTACTAGCAAAATAGCAAAACAGTAGCAAAGGAGTATTTGTCATCAATGCAGATCTGCTGTTACCACAAGATTGTTGACCAGAGATTGGCGCGCTTTCCTGTCTGTGCTAGGGGCGGTGTTTGCTCAAGGACACTTCGACATGCAGTGGGAAGAGCCAGGGATCCAACCACCAACCGTCTAATTAGTTGCTCTACTGCCTGAGCCACAGGCCCGTAAGAGATATGTACACTCTTTATTTTTTCTGGTATCTAGTCATTTACACGAGATTTAGCTGATTGGCATCAAAAAATAATTCAGCAGATGAAGCTTCCGTTTTCAACTGATTGCTTTGGATAAAGTATTGTGTATACGTGATGCCCACTAAAGTGTTATCACATTTGTGGTAGTTTCTGTAACTTTATAATTAATGTTTTGAATATTTGTTCAGGGGTAATCAACCTGTTTCCACCATACTTGCACTAAAATATTTTATATAGATTTCAGGAGTAATTGTGGGGTCGCCAGCAGGGGGCAGCGTGGCGCTTATTGTGCTTCGGGGGGATTTACGTCAGTTTGGTCCACTTTGCAGCTTTCCTCTTTCTGCTGAGCGAGATGAAAAACGGACGCAGAGTTTGCCCTGTCTCACTTATTTCTCCTGTTTCCAGGTTGGTGGAATAGTAAATTAAGCTAAGTAATTGAAGTGTAATACGTTGACATGTCACTGAATGTTTTAATGTCTGCTAATAAGGCTATTTTATGAATATGCGGATATATATGTACAATAGCAGTAACCGCATTTTCGCGCCTGATAACGTCACCTGTTGCTACCAAAGTCAAGTCGGTCAGAGTTTTATTTTTAGCTCCTTGAACATTTTTGTAAAGTCTAATAGTTTTGCATGATATTGTGTAAGATGTGAAAAACTAATGTTAAAAACTGAGTTTATGTACTGAAAAACGGTTAAAAGCTAATGTTAAAATTTTTTTAAATATATTTTAAAAGTGGTTAAAGACAAGTTAAAAATCTGTCAGCTCATGCATTTTGGAAGGGTAAAATGATTTTAGTTGGAAATGGAAAAAGGCATTTAGGAACCATATGTAACATAAGCTATGTTTTGTATGTAAGTCGTAACATAAGCTATGTTTTATTTTAAGTTGAAAAGAGACTTACAGGGTAACAGTGGTTATTGTCATTTTGATTTATTTAATCACTCAAAACTTTTAACTCAGTACTTGCTGAAAGATGAGAAAAGACAAACTGTATTTTATTTTGAAGTCGTGTTTATTTTATAGAGAACATTGAGTGTTCGTAACAGAGGGGGATTTAAATTGTGAATGTTTTAATAAATCCTCTCTCTCTTTCTGCTGAGCGAGATGAAAAACGGACGCAGAGTTTGCCCTGTCTCACTTATTTCTCCTATTTCCAGAGAGAGCATATAAGCTGTTTACGTGGTGCCAGCCAGTACCTGTAACATATATTGTGAAATTTGTTGAATCAAAATATTAAAAAACGCCTGGATTCATGCCAGTTATGACCGGAGCCCTCTCCAAACTTGAAATGTACAACGAAGATCTCACTTCTTTGATAAGATCAATAAAGCAAGAGAAACTCGCTGAAGGACTCTATTTAAAATTAAAGCCCATCAAGGATTTTTTGAAAGAACATATTAACATATTAATGTCCAGAATTTAGAGCGTTCTGCAACTGAAACTGACTCTAGGCTGAATGCTATGGAAACTGAAAACAGGAGGCTTGCTAAAGAAGTCCAGCAACTGAAAGAAAAAACTGATAAACTGGAAAATCATAGCAGAAAGTGAAATTAAACAATAATTGGGCTCCCAAATGCAGTTAAAGTGGGTATGCCAACACAGTTCAATTCAACTCAATTCAATTCAATTTATTTGTATAGCACCAATTCATAACAGAAGTTATCTCAGAACATTTTTCAAATAGATCAGGTCTAGACCGAACTCCTTATAACATTATTTACAGAGACCCAACAGTTCCCACCATGAGCAAGCACTTGGCGACGGCGGCAAGGAAAAACTGCCTTTTAAGAGGCAGTTTACTACCACACTGCAGTATGGGTTATACAGTAATGCTGCTGATAAGTGAAGCTCCCTGCATAGGACCGACGGCTGGCCAGAACCAGTGTATGATTGCACAAGTAATTTCCGACATGACTTCTGAACAACGATGGCAACATGTTCTCATCTTGGCAAATAGAGGATGAAGGGAGGGCGAAGGGGGAAAGAGAATGAGGTATGGAAGAAATAAATGAGTGAAAGTAGTTAACAAAATAAATCAAAATAAGCCGAATAATGCTGTCATCTGATGGTGATTCTAATAATAATAAAACAATATTAGTTAAGTTAGAGTAGCTTATATTTATATTTATATTTTTTTAAACATTTATAAATATTTTGTAAGGAAACAGTAGAAGCTAGACAGAGGGGATGCTGATAAACGGAGTGTAGTGTCACTGCACAACAGAGGCATTTTGATTGACGTATGATACAAACAGCTATACAAAAAAGTGGGTTTCACAAAGATGTGAATACTGCAATTATCTCTGTTTTGCATAAGAAAGGTAAAGATCCCAACCTATGTTCAAATTGGCGCCCATTATCCCTTATCAACCGTGATATTAAATTGTATGCAAAATTACTGGCCCATTGTTTTGAAACAGTCCTGCCGATGTTGGTCCATACTGGTTTTGTTAACCACAGACTTTCTTCTGACAATATAAGACCCCTGTTGCATATTAGACATTTAGGTAAAACTATCATCACCATGCACAGTTCTGTCCATAGACGAAGAAAAAGGCTTCAGTGGTCATATTTGTGGTATACATTGCAGCATATGGTAAAGATTTTATAAATATGCTTAAACCTTTGTATTCTAATCCAATGGCAATGATATTAACGTGCAATCAATGTTCCCCATAGTTTCCCATTGCACAAGGAACTCGTCAAGGATGCCTCAGTCTCTGGTATTTGCCCTATCTTTAAAACCGTTAAGAAAATTAAGAAAGAAAATTAGAAATTCCTAAAAGATGGATAGCAGTGAAGGACAAGACATTCTTGTACTGAGATGGTTTGTAACTCTATCTGGACCAAGTACCGATTTCTCTTTCAATTGCTTTGATTATTTAAAGGAGTCATATTATGCCCTTTTTTCAGGTTCATAATTGTATTTTGTGGCTCTCCTACAATAGGTTTAGATGTTTTAATGTTCAAAAAACACATTATTTTTCTCATACTGCCTATAGCTGAGCACCTCTTTTCAGCCTCTGTCTGAATCGCTCGGTTTTAGCGCCTGTCTCTTTAAGACCCCCCTCCCAAAAAGCCCAGTCTGCTCTGATTGGTCAGCATTATGACGCGGCTCACGCGAGGCTCACATGGATGACGCTCTGGCCCCTCCCCTTCGTTGCCGGCAGGTAGCTCCTCAGTGCTACTGAGTTTAGCTGCATTTCTACCGTCAATATTAATTCAATAACTGCTTCTAAAGCAAAAACTTCACCACCGGACATGTTAGAGCGGGAGTCTGACCTGAAATCACGGAGAAATGAACATCAACAATCAGGATTACAGCTTTCTGTGACGTTTTCCTCAGGTAAATACTGCTATATTAACTACATATACATACATATAACTAAAAAAAAAAATATATATATATATATTAATATATATATTAATCTCTATCTATCACATAATGTTAGTGTTTATACCTTAACTATGAGAACCAACACTGTGTTTTATGCTTGTCTTTACACGTACAGCAGTGAGCAGTGACCTACAGTCTACACAGCCCAGTGAAGTGAAACATATTATATATTACATAATATTAACAACATTAGTCAAGCAGTTGTTTCTAGTGAAGAAACACCCAGTAAATGCACCAAAGTAATCAGAGTAATAGTATAATGATTACTGTAACCTCCCATCTGTTATATTCTTTATACACATTAGTTTACTGAGACCATGGAAACAGAAACCTGGAATACTTTATCCTGTACAACATGTCAACATAACTGAAGGAATCACTCATCTAATAAAGTAAATTGTTCATGTGGTTGAAAAACTGCTAAGTAACCAACTGTTAACGGTACTGTATCCATATTTCATAGTCTGATATAGTATTATTACCAAAGTTAACCTTCAGATATTTGTAAAAGCTGCAATTATGTTTAAACCCCATTAAAAATACTGTATACTGAATATTCTATCATTTATATTATATATTGTAATTTATCTTCCAACATAATAAAGTTTGAATGTGAGACAGTAATGTATTGTGTTGCTTACAGTCATTAATACAGGTTTAAATTTCACATTTTCATATTGAAAGATGACCAGATTTTCAACTCTTTCAAAATCTTCATAAAACCTTTGTGAAATAACATGTTATTTATATAAAACCATACTTATTACTGAATTCAAAAATGACCAAAACTCTTCTTAAAAGTAAAACACTTTATGTTTCATTCATATTCCAGTTACACATGTTGTAAGTAACAAAGCTATAACTTTTATGTAAACTGTGCAGTCCATGTCCTCCATCAAGGTTCATGGTTTCTAGTATATTGAAGTGTGAGCTGGTAATGGAGCTCTGCAGTCAGTGTTCATCTTCATGAGTCTTCCTTTGGATACCCAGACTGTCCTGATGCTGCAGCTGTCTCTGTCCTCTGATGGGTCCAGGAACTCCTGAGCTTCATCAGGTCACCTGCAAAACATGGAAGATTTAGTGTTACTTGTAAGACAGCATATAATATACAGTATAATATAATACAGTATAATATAATATACAGTATAATATAATACAGTATAATATAATACAAGTACAACAGCTCATTGTGGCTCAAAGTAGTCCTACCTAAGTTATAATCTAAAATAATAAAGCAGTGTCTCTGGTGGGTTCCTTGTTGCAGCTAACTGTAGTGATGTGTTGTTGAAACAGTCTGAGGTTACCAACACAATGTCTATCTAATGGCAGCAGATACACACACAGGACATTTACTGACTGTAACTGATGTTGGAACAAGTTCCTGGTGCAATAACAGACATTTAGCAGTGAGCCTCAGTGTTTATAATACAATAGGAGATTATTTGAGTATAGGATGTTACACTGGACCTACACTTATATCGTCAGTAATAGCAGTACTTCAGTAACGCTAAATAAACAGATCAGAAAACTTTTATTCGTCGCGGTTTGACTCCACATAAAGCCTAGTGAGCAACCCCAGCTGCTGGGAGCTAATCAAAGTTACAGAATAATACTAAACTAATGAATCCCTGCAGTTTGACTATTTCTCTCTCACTGTAGCTCTATTGTTAACTCTGGTGCACGTTGATCAAGTTAATTTACACACCGTAACACACACACACACACACACACACACCTGAACGAAGCAGAGAAACAACAAAGCTAGCGCTAGCTGATAACGTTAGCACGTCAGAAGCAACATGAAAACAACCACCAGGCTCCAACCTAATGAACGGTTAACTTCGGTTTAACGATCACACTGTCCCTCGTATTACAACATAAAGTCTGACAGACTCAGTAACTATAGTAACACAGTGACATCACAGAGCTGCTGTGTGCTAATCAAAGCTACAATGCTACCAAACTAATGACCTCCGCTGCTGAATTTATACACAGTACGGTGTCTCCTGATCACAGCTGTATTGATCCACACGGTGAACAGATACTGAGCTACCCAGCAGATAATAAGTTACCAGGTTAAAGACAATTAAACATATCTGACGTTATCTTCCCGGTTCCATGCAGCTCAACGAGCTAACAGCTGATGAGCGCTACAGTTTGTTAGCTCGGAGGTTTTCTGCTCTAACAGCGACACAAACATATTACTGACTGAGCACGTTTAACAAAATACAGACGAACATAAAGCCAATTTAGCCCGGTCACAAAACCCACAACAGTTAGGGAGTTAGGGAGCCCCCCTCCCCCAGCACGAAGCTTGGTGATTCACGGCATAAACTTTGTGTGAATCTCTATAACAATATCAGCAGGGGAGAATATGGAGACATCTGCACCAGCTGGCTTAATAAATTAACTTCACCTTATAAGTTTCATTTTCATCTTTTAACATTTAACAAACAATAACTACGTTAGCATCACTGAGGCTCCTGCAGCTAACAGCAGTTAGCATGAGCTAACATTACATGAACAATGAAAAACAGCATAAATTGTTCAAAATACTTACAGTTACTTCCTCTGCCGTCTCTCCACAGACAGTTGGTATGAATCCCTCTTTCAGGAACAGTCTTTCAGCCAGTCCACTGTTGTACTGACCGAGGTTGTGAAAACAGTCCAACATGAAGGTTCACACACACCTTCCAGTTTTTCTGACTCTAGCCGGACATTGCCGTCAAAAATAATTTACATAAACTTACATACATTTACATATGTAAATTTATGTTGGGCTGTGCAGCCAATGACTGAACAGTTTGTCTGCTGAGGCCTTTGCCCAGACATTAGGCTGCAGGCTGCAGGCTGCTGGCTGGACTTGCTTGTTCTCCGCTAGCTTGCCTTTTATACTCGCAAAGCTCCGATAGTCAACAGGATGTAAAGAGAGTGGGTGGCAACAGGCAGAGCATGTGACGTCACAAACTACACACTTCTGAAGCTTCGTGATTTATCTCCTATATTCTGACTGAGGCAGCTCACAAAAACATGACTGAGTCATTTTTTTTCACACTTTGCCTGCTGATAGGCCCTCCAGAGTCCCAAATGTACATAATCAAATGATTAAAAAGTTGGTTTTGCACAATATGTCCCCTTTAAGGAATTTGGAACAATATCTGGTTATAAGATTAATTTAGGAAAATCCTCCTTACTCTCCTTAAATGAATACCCCAAACACGAATACTTATTCTGGTATACTAATAGTTTCATATTTTAGATATTTAGGATTTGATATTTTCTTGACTTTGAAAAAAAATAAAATAAATGTTTCATATTGATTATAGAGGATTTACATAGATGGTCAAAGCTGACAATATCATTAGCTGCCTGAATCTCTATTGTAAAAATGAACTTGCTCCTGAGGGTTATCCTTTACGGTAGTATGTTGCAAATTCCTCCCACTGAAGGTTTTTGGAACCAATTACAAAATCATGTTTCCAAGTTTATTTGTAAGGAACAAAAACAAATAGAATACAAAAACAAATTATCTCACCATACAATTTTAAAGGTGAGGTTTTTCCAGGCTTATCACATAAATATTGTATTACTCAATTCGAACCTATTATTAGTTTAGTTAGTATTAGCAACAACTAAGAACATTTGCAAAATGCCATATAGATACACCAATATTAAACAATAATTTCTTACTAATAGGTAGAAAACTCATACGATTTCCACAGTGGCAAAACTGTGGTATCCACACCCTTTCCGATATCTATAACAATGATGGTTTAAGATCTTTCCAAGAATTGTGAGAAATGTTTAATTTACCAGGATCATCCTTCTTTTTCTAAAATTGATGTAAACATACGCTGTCTACCAAACATTATTTTACTGAAAGATGACTCTTCTCTTGCTATATTAATAATAATAATAATAATAATAATATATATATATATATATATTGGAATAACTGCAGCAAAATAAATGGTAGTAATGAGGTGGTTATATTTTATTTATTCTTATTTATCTATATATATTATTAAGTTGTTGTTTTTTTTCGTTTATCTCCTGTACAGATATTTATGGGAAGAAAAATTAAAAGAAGAATAACTAAATATTATATCAGATCCAATTAAAATGTTGATAGCGTAAAAAAAATGAAAAGATCAGGTCGTTGGGGAGGGGTCAAATGGATGGATGGGAAGGGAGGGAGAGAGTAAAGAAGGATTTATTATTATGCATTTATTTTGATATGTGGTATGTACTCCATAATGAATGTGAATATTGTGAATGTGTGAGAAAGGCAATCCAATACAAATTTGATCACAAAAAAAATAAAACTGTGTGTTGAAGGCGATTTACTGTGACAGCTCTGTCACCTTCCTGCAGGGCCTGAACACATCACAACCTGACCTTGTCTCTTGCACAGTAGAATCTTGTGCAGCTATTTTAAATTAGCAAAATATATTTTAGTTGTAACATAATGCTGCACCTGTAAACCATTCAATATTTTAAAGTATTAGTATAAATATATCTTCTTACATGCTTTCTGATTAGCTGGATATTAAATTCTTTCTGATTGGCTGAATGTTGAATGCATTCTTTCTTTCATGAATTTTATTTTCAGTTATTTCAAGTTATCAAGAAAGGTACATATTACAAACACAAATACTAGAAGCAGACAACAGCAAGCCATAAAAAATAATAAAAAAAATCCCTAAAACAAAAAAGAACAAAATAAACACTAATCATCATCCTCCATATTTTACTTATTTAAGAAGAAGAAAGAAAGTCTTTTTAGTGTCATATTCACAGTATATACACCATTTACAGCACATTTACATACATGAAATGAAACTTGGCCTCTGCATTTGACCAATTGGGCAGCCTAAGCACCTGGAGCCGTTAGGGGTTAGGTACCTTGCTCAAGGGGAAAACTGGCAACTCTCTACTAGTCCACACTCCGGTCTGCGGGGCTTGAACTGGCGACCCTCTGATTCCCAAGTCAAGTCCCTCCACACTGAGCTACTGCCGCCCCTTTAACAATGAATTGTACAAATGTACACAGATCACTTAGATCCCAAAGTTTCAAACCTTTTGATATGATTTCAGCAGTCTTTTCCAATGTCTCCTGGAGAACACGTGAGTCTTTCCAATGGGAGAAGTTGTAAAACATTATGAAACCAATTTGACACTGATGGTTTAACATCATCTAATCAGTGCTGCAGGATTGATAATGGTGCACAGTACCCCAGAAGACTATCTAAATGCCTGCATATGCTTACACCTTACACACACACCACAACAGTCACTGTCATATTTACTCCTACAATATTGGGTAGTTTGTAATTTATGTATATATATATATATATTCAACTGATTCACTTCCGGAAGTCATGTTAAATAAAATATTACTACGGTATTTTTACTTTAGGAAGTCTAGGAAGAGATGTTTGAATGATTCCTCTGGCATTGCTATTCATTTTGGTATATTGTTTTATTTCACATTGTCCCAACACTTCCCCATTGCTTGCAAATATGGTGACCATAGCCTTGTTGTTTTTATCTTTCTTATCACTTCCCATCAGTTTATATACATCAATCTACACAGCCAAATACAATTTTTAAGCAGAATAGGTGCATCAGACACTAGACAAAACAGTGTTAAACACTATGAGCAACCCAAGCAACTTCAATTATTCTTTAAACCAGAGTTTTAAGCAGCATAAAACTGCAGTATGGACTGTTACAACATTACTATGATACGGGTCACACTATTTTAACCAAAATCACACATCACAGATCACTGTAACAGTGCAACGACAGTTATCAATTCATTGATTTTTTCCCAGAAGGAACACCCAAACATCAGACTTTAGCTTCAATGGTAACTCATTTTACAATAGTCAATTTCTCAAGTTATGCACCTTAATATGATAAAACATGTGTTTCACTAAATCTATTTTGAGTTCCCCTTTCTCCTTTCTCTCTCTCCCACACACTATCTTCACATACAGACATTTTGCTTACACTTCCACAAACACAGTATTTTCCCTAAACTACCACTTATATTCTATTTCAACATTTGATTCAATTTATACAACAGCTTTAATTTGACTTAATATAACAGATTTGATCCCAGATTTTATACTCTATTTTATTTGTGGTTCTCTCTGCTTTCTACTTCTCGACTATCACAAGTAGATAATAGTATATTTGTTCACAACGTCTTAGTGTTATTATAAATTAATAGGGCATGCCCAAAGAGACTGCGATAGAATTTTCAGTCACACACCGATATCTAATGCTGCACAGAGAGCTACTTAATTGTATTTCTCAAATGCAGTTTTGTTCGTGCTCCTCTTTATATATATACATATAATTACTATTAGATCCTCGATTAGGTCCTTTTTCTGTCATTGGTTCAGTCCTTCTGTGCTCTTGAAGCGGTAACCACAAGTTTATTGTACTTATCATGAGCAAACAAGTTGCATTTACAAATGCCCCTGGCCCAAGTTACATTTATGACCATCAACTCAAAGTCACATTTGGGAGTTGTTTTGCAGCCTTGGTTCAAGGCCATCCTTTTTTTTGCCCCTTGGGTTAATGGTCTAATTCCTTGACTGACTCTTTTCCATTGGGTTAAGGGATTCTGCAGTACTTCTTTAAACTCTTTTTAGGCTTTTACACTCTTTAGACAATTACTCTTTAATTCTTTAAACTTTTATTGCACACTTGATTTTATTTGCTTTATTCCTATTCTACTTACCAATTTTAGGGTGATTAGTACATGCATGACTGTCAATGTCAAAGTCTAGTCTAGTCTGTAGCTCTAAAATAGATCCTGATTGGCTCATTGTTAAATGTTTTCTTATTGGTTAGAAACTACTTACTTTTCATCTTTTTTCATATTTTTATTACCCAATTTTGAATGCACTAGACAATTGTCAGACACAGGTTTTGTACATAGTGACCCACCAAGATATTCAGTGGCCTCATTGCTCAGACTGTTGAAGCTGCCTTTGCAGGAAGATCCCACTCTAAGGAGCTTCTGTTTGTTTCTTTCTCCTGGATTCCCAGGTACACACACCTTTTGTTAACAATACACACAGACACAGGACTATTGTTAGCAGGACATCATCCATCAAAGAAAAAATCACTATGTCGACCACCATCAGAAACCCTTAGTCCAGATTTATGTGTATTTTAGAAGTGCGTCTCATAGAGTCAGAGAGGCCTTTCTGTTGTGGGGGCAAAGCAGTTCAGAAATACATGTATTGCTCTGTATACTGGATCATCTCCACCTTCACACCTCATCTGCTTGAGTTTTATCTGAAAATAACACATACATACTCAAGGTCCTGATTCAAAGAAAAAATACTCCTGTCCAGCAGCATCTTCTAGGCTTGAGACATTTCTACAAAGTACACAAGTCATATCAGCTTTATTTTTATGAGTTCAGTGATGGCTGAGCGCAGGGAATGCCATCAATCATGTTAAATGAAACAGGCAGCACAATAGCCACTGGCAGACAACAAAATAGAAAATAGTGGTTGAAAATCAAAAATTGCTATGCTAATTCAAATTATTTTGTTCAGGTTAGTTCAGATTTGTAATGTCTGTCTTTGTATGTTCACTTTTTTCCTAAGCAAACCGTCATCATTTAAATTGGCTTCAGTGCATGGACATGCACAGACATTTTGGGGGGCAGGGCCTTAAGAAGA